AGTAAATTAGGGATCTATAGTGAGTTGATGAACACTAACCGTTGGGTCAACCCCAACCATGTCATCATGGCTCTAGGCGAACCAATTTGCATTTCTGACATAAACCGAGCCAATTTTTTCATTATATTTGAATGGAGCCCTATCCCCAAGCGTAGTGTTCTTTCTGGGGATTTCTGTCATATCTTATTTTCTACAGTTTCTTCTTCTAATACTTGTATATGTTCAGTTGGAGAGACTCCTTGCCCCGCGTCCTGCTTCATCATGGACTATGAGTTTCGTAATGAGAGCGCTTTTAATCTCTCCCTCCTTCTAGCGCCAAATTTTTTTGGAGGATTTCATTCTCGTGAACCAACCACTAGGGAGGACCCGCTCCTGCACAGTCAATACACATGAAGGCCTAAGAAAATACGATGGTGGGAGGTTTTTTCCGACAACGCTCAAAGCTCAAGTCAGGACAAGACAGATAAAGAGAGAAAGACCACGGTGAGTCGATGGAATAAAGAAGGAATAGCCGGAAATTGAGAAAAAGGAAAGGGTGACTCGGGGCTGAACATGGATGGTCCGAAGAGTTTTAGGACGTTCGGAGTAAAAATTTGGTGGAGCGTGAAAGAGAGACAGTTTATTGGTGAAGTTCCGGTCTAGGAATGGCCAGAACCAACGAAAAGATTCGGAGAGGATCAGAGAGATTGGCCCTAAATAGGCGAAAAGAGCTTCAAGATTCCATGAACGAATGGGCCTTGAGCTCGATAGAAAGGGGCTTATAGTATGTGTTTTTAGCCCAAAAGATTTGATACTCATTATGGAGTAGACAGGGAGATATTTATAGATGTTTTAGATATTTTTTTGCCTGAGTACTTGATAAGAGAACTTAGGTCACGTTTTTTGTTCCTTGGTGAAGATACTCAGTTGCGGGGCTTTTTGTTTACTTGCCTCCGGGTTCTTTTTTTTCGAATAGCGAGATCCGTTTTTGGGGGTTGTTTGGCCCGGGTTTCTTCACATATGGGTTCGGGCCATTGTAGAGTGAGACACAAAGTCCGCATTAGAACCATTGTTGGACGACAAGCTCCACTAGAGACGTTAAGAACCCTACCATACCACGTCGTTAAGGATGATTCATCTAACTCAAAAGGGATTATTTATCCCCTACACATGATATAATAATAAAATAATATAAATTTTATTATGTATAAATCATGATATTTTATATATTTTGCTATGAAAAGATCATACTACTATAATATGA